ATAATAGATATGCTTGAAAGGAAATACTAATTGACATTCTTTGTTGCTGAAATATTTGTGGAAATTTTTTGCTGTTTTCTGTGTCTCCACTCTAACAAATCCTGTACAGGTCTGCCATATCTCTCAAAGACCTACTTCCGACATTCTGAATGGGAACTGTGCCACTCAGAAATGCAATGCCTCCTCAATGCCAACTGATTTGTTACAACATGCCCACCTTAGTATCGATGATTCTCCACTGTGTGACCCCAGCTTTCTCCAGTTTTATCTCTTGTTCCTTCACCATCAATACATCATACTTCAGCAAATTGCCTTATTTTCAGAGCATAATTTCCCACTACCTTTTCTTAAAGTCATTATCTCCACATAGAATTCCTCATTTCCACTTTCAGCTGGCAAAATTCTATTTATAAAGAATGTTAAATACTGTGAAGCCATTATTTTTGGAAATGTTAATCATTTAGGATTAATTCTATATAAAATCACAAACATAAAATATATTTTGAGCCAAATATAAAGATGGAAGAAAAAAATGTAAGAACACTAAGGAAAATTTTTTTAAAGTAGAATTATGAGGATGAACATCTACTGTGTATTAAACATAATATCATGATAGAAATATCAGATCCTAGGGTACTGATGCAAGAATACATGGAAAAATAAGAATAGATGCTTTAGACAAAGGGTCAGTGATATTTAAGAAAGTATTTGTAATGAAAGATATAGTAGAAATCAATGGGGAAAGAATTATTCATAAATAATATTATATAATCTCTGTTAGAAATTAATAAAAGAAGTAAATTCAGACTCTCCACACTTTATACAAACATAAACAAGTGTAGGAGAGTTATTTATTAAAAATGGAAATTTCTTGAAAGAAAGATGCCAAATTAAAAAGCAATGGAAAATGATGCCATTAGATTTGCAAAGATTAAAATGGTTCAGAATATGAAAATTAATACTAAAAAGCAAAGAGAATAGAGCTGGAAACTTATTTTGTAAGAAATTCCAAAAGAACAAAGTTGGAAATATCGCTAATGGACAAGACAAATAATTCAAGAAGAAGACACATATAGCAAAATATTCTAGTTCACTAATAATTCAAAAAATGAAATACAAATGAAAATACTATTGTATTACTTTTGTATTAAATTAAAAACAATTTAAAAGTTGGTTGTGTTCATTGCTCCAGGCGGTATACTGAAGCAGGGGCTCTTGCATTTTTCTCGCATTTTTCTGGAGGGCATAAATACACATTGCAACGGTTTCAAGAGCCATCATAGAGTTCTGATAGTGTGACCTAGTATTTCCATTTCTTGAATTTTTGCTGAAAGAAAGAGTCTCAAGTTTGGAGGGGAAAAGACTGCTCAGAGAAAAATATGAATTATAAAATTGTAACAGCAAGTAATTCAAAACAATGCCTAGGAGGAAAGAATTTGCTAGATTAAATATTCACCAATTTCAACACATTGTAACCCTAAAATTGATGATTATAAAGACAATATAATATGATACCTATAAAATATGAAGCAAGCGAAATAGCAGAATAGTATTTTATAGGATTTTTTTAAATATGGTAATTATGATTGTTATTTAATTAGCATATTATGGTAATTAAAAATATTTTAGTTTTGCTTTAAATTTTTAGTTTGCTGAGTAGTACATACATTTCGCGAAGTTATAACTATATTTATTTCCTTCTTTAGCCCAATATTATTGAGAATTATGAATGATCAACTGATGTTTCTGGAACGAGCATTTATTGATCCTTTAGGATTACCAGGCAGGCCTTTCTATAGGTAAGAAAAATAGTATGTCTCTTTGCTCTAACATCACTTTTTCTTATTTTTTGCACTGTAGAAAAATTTCATAGTTGATTTCTTGCAAGCAAATAGAAAATTTCAAAATATATGCACTAAGTAAAAAATATATGGTTTCTTCATGTAGATTCTTGAATCTTTCTTTTTTACTATCTTTTTTCCATTTCTTCTTATAAAAGACAAATATGTTCATTTTAGGGAATGTAAAAGATCCAGAAAGTCACAGGAATAAAATAAAAATCTCCTCATTTCCATCAGCCAAATATAAAATCTTGTTTATATTTTGGTGTATATAATTTTAATCTTTCCTATGTTAAATATACTTGTGTTTATGTATTCACATCACACTTAATAAATCTATATAAAAATGTATAATATATAATAAATAGATATTTATTTACTCACTCCCCTAATGTTGACATCTAGGTTTTCTTTCCCCCTAAATTGTGATAATTGTATTATTTCTGATAAACATCAACTGTTCCCAGGCTATTCTTAATAAGTATTGCAGAATGAATTGATAATTAGACAGCTGGAAATGGCCTCATGTTTCAGTCTAGGGATTCTCAAAGGGTTTGGGAGCAAGGACGTCCAAACAGGGTGGCTGGTTTGCCAATGGAAGCATGAATGTGCTTATTTACTTCTTCACCCCTTTACTTTGGAGTTAGTCCTTCTCTTCTAGGGCTATTGCATGAACTGCCTTAGACTCTTCAATAAAACAGTTTTCTTGACTAGGTCATGTGGAACATCACAAAATTGTAATTATTCTTCATGCTTTGAGCTAAGCATTCTAGCAGCCTATTGTGGCTTTTTTAAAGAGAAGAAAAAAATACAGTAGTAAGTGGGATGAAAACAAACAGGACTTTAATCATCACAGTAGTGGGTATAACTCAGAGGCTACTGTGGTATAGCAGCAAATCAGCACTTATTTGCAGTGTGCCTTGAGACAAATCGTTTAATCACTTAATTTCTCAGACCACAGTTTCCTCCTCTGAAATACTAATATCAACTGTATAGAGTTTATTTGTAAGGATTAGAAAAATTGTAGGTAAATTCATGAATACGAGGCATGGTCCATAATAGGTAATCAGCAGCTGTTGCTATTGTTGTTGTAGCTCTGAGCCACTTTAAATTATCTATTTAATGTCAAAATTAATTAACACAAATTTCGTAGATTAGTCTTTGGAGATGATTGAACTTGGAAGTTTGGTTGACAAGTGGCTTATTCAAATCATAAAACTAGAAATATGCAATCCAGGAATCATAGAGTCCTCTTTGTCTCTTGTGTGTCATTTGGACTACTAATAGACTGCAAACTGTTTTGTCAACAGGCATATCATCTATGCTCCAAGCAGCCACAACAAGTATGCAGGGGAATCCTTCCCAGGAATTTATGATGCTCTGTTTGATATTGAAAGCAAAGTGGACCCTTCCAAAGCCTGGGGCGAAGTGAAGAGACAGATTTCTATTGCATCCTTTACAGTACAGGCTGCAGCAGGAACTTTGAGAGAAGTAGCCTAAAAGGGTTCTTTACAGAACCCATGTTGAATTTGTATGGTATATCACTCAGAAAGAATCATGGCGGGTAATATCGATGAACTGAAAAAGTTGAAGGATATACACACAAACAAACACAGATGAGGGTACTTCAAAAAAGTTATGGAAAAATTGAATTAAAAGAGAATACAAATCTTTCCATGAACTTTTTGAAGTACCCTCGTGTGTGTGCACATCTGTTTGCCCATTCTTTTTTCTTCTCTCCGTAGATAAAAAAGGAGACTTTTTATTCTATAATTATAGGTTTTTTTTTTTTTTTTTTTTTTTTTTTTGTCTTTTTCCGTGTCCGGCAACGGATCGCAACCCTCAGTGTTGCCCCCGACCGGACCAGGGACCGGCAACGGGATCGCAACCCTCGGCGTTGCTCCCGCGCCTCGCTCAGCCAGTGAGCGGGAGCCGGTCCATATGTGGGATCCGAACCCTCGGGCGGGAGCGCCACCGCGCTTCCCAAGCGGCGCACTACCCAGTGCGCCACCGGGCCGGCCCTAATTATAGGTTATTCTGAAGTTGAAATTGAACTAAGTATTAAAATTAAAGAGAGCAGAGTAACATAGTAAAACTCTTACCTTGCATTAATTATTAGGATATCAAGTCTACTACAGCACTTCCAATTCTATTCATGTGATTGCACACATAGAAAATCATGTTTATTATAGAGCACACTGAGGAAAATGCACAAGGCTGCTCCAAGCCAGAGGCCTCCTCAGGCCCTGCCTGGCCACCCCAAGCTGACAAGAACCTTATCTTAGCACATTAATTAGGAAACTCTGATCTAATCACATTCCTGGTAAATGTAGTCATTTTTTACCATAAGAGATTATTATTTTTAAATTAAGAAACATTTTATTTATATATAAGGTTACATGTAACATATGTGTACGGTTAAAAATAATAGAAATGAATATTTGTAAACCCAATAATCAGATTAAGAAAGAAACATTTCCATTATGTTTGGATCCCCCACGTAGTGCTGATCAATTGTGCCTTTTCTGCCAGAGGTTATCGTTTTCTTAAATTTCAGGTTTATCTTTACTCTTTTTCTTTATACTTTAAGCACACATTACTGTATCTTTACATGTTTTGGCTTTCTGTGGTTTTTGAACTTTTTATAAATAAAATCATACTACGTGTATTTTTCTGATACTTGACTATTTCATTAGCCTTTGTGGCCAGTGTTCAGCAGATATCCTTAATATAGAGCATTCACTTGTCTGAATGTAATACTTATCAGTCAGGATCCATCAAGACAGAGAAACTACACAGTAAGGTCAACAGGGCAAGTTTATATAAAGAATGATTAATTATAACAGCGTTGGAGCAGTGAACTATTTTATAGCAAAAGGTAAGGAGAACTCTAAATAAAAAACGAGTAACAGAGAAAAGGAGTAGCCACTATCCTTAGGGCTGATTTGGAGCAGCCAATGAAGAGTTCCTTCCACTCCATGGGCCACACTCAGTAGTAGAGAAGCCACTGTGGTGCTTCACTACAGATCTTGCTGCAAATTCTCATTCCAGAACTCCCCAGAAACTTGCCTTCTAGATCACTGTGGAAAGCTGTTTATGAGGAAATGTCTTGCCAGAGGCATTCCACCACAAATCTTCCCAAGGGCAGTGTCAGGCGAAGCTCTTGGGTGCTGGGTTCTGCTGACCACCATGTACTGCAGGAACCAGGTACTATAGCAGCAGCCTGCAATGCAAGATCTGGGCACTGGTGCAGCCATGTACGCAGTAGGGGCCATGCTGGAGAAGTCATTTGCAGTGCAGAGCCTGCCAAGTGAGCCAATGGAAAGCGAGAAAAAAATCCCCTTTTTGAAATGTCTCTCCAATGCCTTCTACTCACAAAGTTTAACATCAAACCACTTGGGAAAGGAAAAATATATAAAGGGCCCAGATCCCTTTATGAAAAGCAGACAGTCAAAGAGTGACTTTGGAGTGGAAGAACCAAAAGTTGCATAACTGGCACATAAAATATATTTATTCACTTTTCTACTGGTGGATATTTGGAATGTTTTCTGTGTTTTACTCCTATGAACATGTCTCCTAATGTAAATATTCGAGAGATTATCTTTCCTGGCAATTCCTATCTATAAGTGGAAATTCTGGGTTGTAAAATGTGTGCATCTTCAATTTTCCTGGGCAATGTCAAGCTATTTCAAAGTGATTTTATTTATTTATATTCCCACAGGCAAAGTAATCATGTTATAAAAAATAACAGATTTAAGAAAGAGTGTCTCACATTAGAGAAATTCAAAGAACTCAGTGTTACTGTAATCCAAGCAGTACGGGGAAAAGCATCCATACATTAAGCATCAGATACATCCTGTCATGCTTGGGACGTCATCCAAAGGAGTGTAACTATTTTCCTGTAGTCTATAAAATGTCACATAGTAAGGTTAAGCAAGGTAGGGATATGGTCATATTTACATTTTAGAAAGTATTCTGGCCTAAGTATAGACGGGGGCACCAAACCAGCAACAGGTCAGACCTTATCTCATGATAATAGCTGTCATGTGGACTTCACCCTCAGAAAAAATGACTCCTCTTCTTATCCTTTGGATTTCAGATTAGATGTTATCTCTTCTAGGAGGATCCGGGATGACTGTCTTTTCCCTGGTATTCTCTACTAGTCCAAAAGCTCTTTAGAGACAAAGTTTGGTTTTTTGTTGTGGCTCCATCCCGCTATTATGCAGAGTCCATATCAGACACTCATTTTGTAAATAATCAGAGTAGCGCACATATATGGAGCTCTGTCTGGGAAATCATGTACTTGGCAAAGTGGAGCAGTGTCAGCACTAGGACTTCAGCAATGCCTTTGTAATGAGGTTTGACTGAGCATGCTAAAAGGCTTTTTTGATGTCATTGATAGAGAGCTGGACAATATGATAGATGTGGGACAAGGGGAACATTAACATTCTAAAAAAACAGACGAAGACCCACAAAACACTTGAAATCTTTGTGAACTTTCAGTCAGTACTGCAAGCACGCACTATGAATTCCCCCAAAGCATTTTGTAATTCTGTGGCTTAAGAACATACTTCGGCAACCATTTAATATAACTTATTCACAGAGGTAGTGCAATGATAGGAGCACAATTTTAGAAGAGAGGCTGCCTGGGTTCCAACCCTGGTGCTCCCACTTAGAGTATGACTACAGGCAAATTATTAAAGCACTTTGTTCTTAAGTTTGTAAATCTCTAAAATGGGTATAAAATGGTATCTTTTGAGTAGTTATGGTATAAACATGGCAGCAATAGGCGCTGGGACTGGGGAGCTCTTCTCTGGGTTGGAAGCTCCGGGATCCAGGGATGAATGACTTTTCCTAGTTAGAGGTGGAATTTTCCTTGGTATTGTTGCTGCAGTAGAATTGTGGCTGGATTTGTTACAACATTATCACCGTCTAAAAAGAAAAGCCCTGAAAGATTTAATAAGGGAAGTAGGGCCATGGCTGCCTTACCAGAGAATAGGTCTTCCCTTGTGGGCTCTGGGCTGGGTCTCACTTTATGTGGGGTGTGGGGTGGGTGTGCTCAGCTTTGCAGTGTGGCAAGCTTTAGAAATTCACAGTAGAGTGACATCACTATCTTCTTGAATAGATTTTTTTTTTAAATAAGACATATTTATTATGCTAAAGAACAGATTTTTTCATTTTCCCAAAGCACTAAAATAGCACATGGCATAGTAATTTAGCACACACTGTAAACTGATATATACAATCAATAATCCCCCAAAATGGCTATTTTAAGTCTCACTTTGGGAG